GGCATTTTCACAGGACATCAAAAAATTCCAAACCCCGTGGGGAGTAATAGGTGATGACCTTGTGCTTAGAATATGCCAGCACTTGAATTCGCCTACTGAGGATACACAGTGAGGCAGGGTTCCAGTTAGGGCACAGTCAACTTGGGGACTTCACCCTGTACGCCCCCAGCCGAGTCATTCTTAGTGTTGGAAAGCCACTGACATTGACAACCTGTATGAAAGTGGCAGCCACCAGAATTTAGAGGGCACGATTCTGGCAAAGAAAACATTTTCCTTTTTCGAGGAATAGTTAGGTTCCCAGATGAGGGGAATATGTCACACACACACACACACACACACACACACACACACACACACACACACAAGGGTAAGTAATGATTTCAACAAGGCATTTGATAAATCTTTCACGATGCCCTAAAGGGCTGGTTGGATAACTTGGGTTGGGTAACACTGTAATAAGTACAGCTAGTTAAGCTAACCTTCCTGAGTGGTGTGCAAATTGCCTTGGATATCATGTCACTGCTTCTATTCTAGCTCTTTCCTTCTTAAACATTTCCTCAGTGTGGGGTTGGGATAGAAAACACGTATGTGACTTTCGGTCAAGACGGCATGGTGAGCTTGTACTTTGAAACAGCCCCTCTGGGGCAAACTCATACCGCATAAAAGAACAAAACGGAAAAGCGTAGTGAGGCCCAAAACCAAGCTAGTGTTGTCACGAACCAGACAGGTTAGACATGTAAAGCCACTGGCCTGCGAGGCCCTGTCCGGAAGCAGAGGGTGTGGGCCGCACCCGCGGAGGACCACGTGAGAAGGGGCACAGGAGCCAGGCTCCACCCTGAAGCCACGCTGCTGGCCAAAGAGACTTAAAATTTTCTGCAGCCCTGCTCGTTAGAGCTAAGGCTAGAGAGGGTGCTGGGAGGACGATGACGTAACCGAGTGGCTCTCCCGGCTCCGAGTCTGGGTGTCAAATTTCCACAATTTCAATACACAGAAGGAGCTCTGCAGGCTCTGGATTGTGCCCCAGGGACCTGGACAGGCAACTAGCCTGGGGTGTGTCTCTCAAATCACCCAGCCCTCATGTTGGAGGACAAAGAACGTCGGTGGGGAGGAGGTATCTGAGGTATTTGAGGAAGGAAATAACAACAGCAAATAAAATAGTCATTCAAAATGAGCCCAAAAGCAAAATTCCTACACTTGCGAAGAAATACAATGCTAACGACGACAGCGAAGGAAATAAACGTTTGGAATATGGATTCACAGCAAAGTCAGTTCACTGAACAGCCTGACAGTGAGTCTAAATAACTCTAATTAGGATGCTTAAAGATACAGATTATGGAACAACTTCCACTAAAAAGAGAAATCATGAGACAGACATAAAAAACACTAGTCTGTAACTAAGGAAAAGAGTCGTTCAGAAGCCTTGGAATTGAAAACTGTTGTCACTGAAATTAAAACAAACATATCAATATAGTGGCTAATATCGAACAAGAAGCAGTAAAAGAGAGGATTCATGAAGTGGAATGCAGTAAGGAAGAACTCAACCAGCACAGCGAGCCAAAGAGATAAAGCAGGAACTAAAAGGGAGGAACTATCTAGGGGGCAGACGAGATACGGGGAGCCTAAAATCTGTGCCTGGTAAGTGTTCCAGAAAGGAGGATTCAGGGCATCACAGAGGAGCAGCTCTTGAAAGACATCTGAAACTCCTCTAAAACTGATGAAAGACATGACTGACGAGTGAAAGTAAGCTCTGAGCATAGAGAAAGGCGAATAAAATTAAATCCGCACATTGTAGTGACATAGAACATAGAAGGCAAAGGAGAAGATTTAAGTCTCATAGAAGACAAATATTTTTTAAATACTGAGGACAAACAACCTACAACCTAGAGTGAGTGAGGGTCTAGGTGATGTTTATCAGAAATATAGAAATAAAAAAATAATTCAAAACTAAATTAGACATTAAGTGGATATGTTTAAAAATGAAGGAGCACCACTAAAAGAATGCGGATTCAATCTGGTCATAAAATCTGAAGAGAAACAAAAACGTGGGATGGAAGAATATTTTTTTCAATTACGAATCAATAGCAGTCGGGAAAGGAAAGCGAGTAAGATTCTCAGACGTAACAAAATCAGTACGTGGGATAACAACCTGTCAAAGGGCCTTGACAGGTCTAAAACCAGTGAAATGACAATTCAGACAGACATACTAAGACTCAAAAAGAGAATCGTATAACTCCCCGCAGGGTCACGAATGCCATCTGTATGTCATTTGCAAACTCCATCAGGGATCTGATGTCCAGGACTGAGAGTGACCGTAGGACTCCCGAGAGGCCAGCTTTGAGTGCGAGCTCACATTAGATGACCAGCCCCAAGACCCCTTCCAATCCAGCATTAAGGATCCCATAGATCATTAAGGCTTCTTTCATCCAAAAAGCTCACAAGGGCGGGATCCACAGAGCACAGTCTCTCCTACTCTCTACCCCACCCCCGCCGTCACCCTACGAAGAGGTATCGAGCATCAGCTGGAAATGACCGTCATACAAGTGAGGCGCTCCATGCTGGAGAGCCAGATCTCTAGCCCTGAGCATCAGGGCTAAGCAGAGAGACACGCAGGCTGGGAGACCTGCCCCCCAGGAAAGTTGGAATCCATTCCCACAATGCTATCCAGAGACCAGCAGGAAGGCAGCACTTCCAGTGGAGAGAGCATGGTCTTCCCCAGTGGGCGACCTGCACTGGAATTATGGTTTCAGGCCGGTTAAGACTCTCTCTAAGCTCCTCCGTGTGTAAACCGAGGCTAACATTCCACGCCATGGTTCTCATGAGCTCTGCCGAGACGAAAAGGGAAAGATGCCTCGCAGGGCACCGGCCCACGGAAAGCACTCAGTGAACAGCAGCAGTGATAATAAGCCTGCACGTTTATCACTTCTGAAAGCACTTTGAATTATCCATAAACTGAGACTAACTCACATGCTTGTAAGATACTGTCACATAGGAAGGCTGCTCAGTGTTCAGGGTGGAAGGCCCGGCTTTCTCCTTCCAGCTGGTGACCTCTCACCCACTGGGCACTTCTAACTGGGTAAAACCCAGAAACCTGATCCCATCTGGCTTCACCATTAACTGCCAAGTGTCTATCAAGTGGTTATTAATAAACTCAGTTTCTGCCTAGATCAAATCGGAGAAGACACCAGCTAGCCAAGTCCCCTTTTCCCTTATTTTGGATGACTTTGAAGTTTAAGTCACCTTGTCCTGAGAAAGAGAATTCACTCGGGAATGTCAACAGAACTCTCTTATTGTTGGCTGAAAACATTTCATGTATTACCTAATTTTTCATATGTCCCCACTTGCATGAAGCAGAGGGACATGATCCCTGCCCAAGTGTGCCTTGTCCTGGGTCCCAGTGGGACAACGCCCTCTAAGGGGTATTTCTGAGCCAGGACACCAGGGCCAAATGACAGCCCTTAGGGCTCATGGAGCAGGCGGGGCCTGAAGGGTGTAACCATGGAAACGGAGGCCTCCCCGGCCTGGCCACACAGAAAGGCTCAGTCTGCCAAAGTGAGGTGTGGAGATTGTCACTCTATGTTGCTCCAAAAAGAACTCCAACCTGAGATCCCAGAGCTGGACGGCCTACAGGAGGTCTCCTCCCCGACGGGTTTCGAACTGTGCTACGTGGGGCCCTGGTGGCTCGGGGAGGGGCGGTAGGGGTCGGCGGGGAAAGGGGAGCTGAGAAGGAAGGGCACCAAGACCGCCGTCTTCACCTCTCCCCAAGTTGCCCCGTTCTTAGTCCATCCACAGGCTGGGGGGCTGGACATTTCCTTGACATCGAAGGTTCCATGCTGGGAAGTGCAGGTGCTGAAAATCATGGCCACAGCTGGCACACAGGGCCCCTCTGTGCCGAGCGAACGGAAGAGCCCCCCGCATGAACAGATCTCGGAAAGGTGCCCCTTCCTGCGACTGTCCCAGCCGGCCTCCGTCCAGGGCCCCGCAGGCTGGGTGAGCAGAGGGCAGGCTGGCTGTCAGCCCCCAGCCGCCCCCGAGCCAGTGCCCGGGGCAAACCACGAACTGCAGAAGCCTCTGCATCCGCCCTGCCATGGTTTATGGTTTTCTTTTACCAAAGTACCTCATAAGGGTGGTCTCCGATGCCACCTCTCCCGTGAATAATAGCCAGCTTAGCAACCTTAGAGTGGCACCCTGTGGTCACAAATGCCACAGGCAGTCTCACGTAGACTGCAGAAGCCCTGTGGGACAGTGTCATTGCTCCAGAGTCACAGCGGGCCTGCTCAGGGCCCCAGCTCCAGCCCAGAACCAGACCTCCCGACTACTCAAATCCTCCGTGTCCCTCGGCTACGAGTCTCCCCTCGAAAGAGTCTTGTCCTCTTCATCCCATCACAATAAACTCTTCCAAAGTTCAGAGGCGAGTCCCTCGTGTCCCCACCTGGTGGTCCCTGCTGGAGGAGATGTCACTGCCCGAGCCCTGGCCACAGTACAACTGGCCAGGAAAGCCGGCCGTCGCGCTCCTGCAACGTCCGAGAACACCCAGCCGCCTTCTCAGCGGTAACTGCCCACGCGAAGCCACCCACCCCAGGCCCGCCACGCCCGGTCCAACGCTGCGGACCACTCCGGAGCCCCCGTGGCCCCCGGCCTCTCTTCTCTCAGCCCTCACGGCCAGTCTGTCGTGACATCCCGTCACCTCGGCCTTCTCAACGCCGCCAGAAACTTCTCACCCTGTCACTGCAGCCGCCAGAGTCAAACCACCTTCACCTCCCACTGGGATTTATTACGACGGCCTCCCACTCGTCCCCCTGTCCTGCCCTGCAGCCGAGAACCCAAGAGACTGGTCCCTGAAATGCACACACTCCAAGGCAGGGCCCGCCCCAAGGGCCCCCATAACTTCTCATCCCGCTAGGAGTCAAGGCCAGCGCCCTTGTGAGGTCAGCCAGCCCCGCCGGAAAGCCGGCCGTCGCGCGACCTCCAGCTCCCGGACGTGACCTCCAGCTCCCGCTCACCCATGCTCTTGGCTCCACACCAGCCTGGAAGCCGTCACGATGCCTCCGCCTCAGGGCCTGGGCACCTGGAGCACATCACTCACTCCCCCGCCTCCTTCGCATCTTTGTCCAAAGGTCGCTTTCTCAGTGAGACCTGCCCTGCCCCGTCCCTTTGAAACCGCATCATCCGCCCGTCCCCTCCCGCGCTCCCTGTCACCCTCCCCTTTGACTTGTTTGTTTCTTTCTTTCTTTTCTCCTCGTCTGAAATATGAGCTTCTGGAGGACAGGGATGTGTGTCTGTTGTATTTGCTGCCACAAAGTAGAAGCCAAATGCGTATTTACTACTAGAATGAATAAATGAATGGGAAAAAAAAACAATAGTATTTTATAATTTTTGTTTGGGGACGCCTGGGTGGTGACTGCCATTGCGTTGTCAACTTTTATTTTAAATAAAAAGGAGGAAAACGGGGGAGGGAGGAAAGACAAAAGGAAAATACCTTCTGCTATTAGAATCATTTCGTAAAAGACACTTTAACTGCCTCACAATGGGAGGCGCATTCTCTCGGAATAAGTCATTATCTTCCCCCGGAAAGTCGGGTGGGCGGACTCGCATCTGCATGCACAGCACAGAACACTGTCCTGCTCCCTGTTTTCCACTGTGCATCAGTGAAAACCTTAGCTCCAACACCAGCCCAACCACTCCCAACTCCCAACCTCCAGCTCCGCATAGCTGTGGTTCTTCCTTGAGAAAAAAAAAAGACAAGAATGTCACGTCCCTGGGCTGGCCCTTGCTCCAGCTCAGGTGTCCCTTGCTCTGCCTGCTCAGTCAGATCATTCCTGCAGCTTGGACGTGGGGCTACTCAAGAGCTCGGAACAGCAAGAGCTGGGTGACACCAGCCTGTGGCTCACAGACTTTGCAGTTCCCATGGAATATTCAGTGAATTTATACTTTTTCCACAGCTTTTTCTGTTACATCTTTCACGCAGCCGCTCAGGGAAAAATAAGACCTTGCAAACCTCACATCATTTACCCTCACGATAAGCTGGCAAAGCGGGTTTATTAGCTCCAGCTGTAAAGATGAAGACCCTGAGGCTCAGACAGGCTGAGAGAGATTGGAGAAGGTTGGAGGAGGAGGCGACGGTGCAGGAGGGGTGCACCCCGAGGCACAGCCCTGCCCCATCCCCTCTCTGCAGAGCCCAGGGGGGCAAGGGTTAGGGCAAGGCATTGTGCACCTGTGACTCTTCAAATCAAAAGCCAGCGCGGACCTCTTCCTTTTCCTCCTTCTTGGTCCCCCATTGTCACCCCTCGGGTTCCACTCCGGGCCCATGGGCCACAGACGTCTCGCTTCCTAGCCGGACTCCTATCAGTGGCTCCCGGCCCCAAATGCGGCAGCCCTCAGGCCCTGGACTGTAGTGTGCGAAGCATAACCAGCCCAGTCAGCTCTCTCACGCTGTCTGCCACATAATGTGGCATGTTAAAATATCAGAACACAAAATTAGACATGAAGCGTGTTATAGGATATACGTTATTTCATGTAGCTCTTAGCTCACTGCCATCCCTGGAAGTTTTCTTCCAAAATCCCACAGGGCGTCAAGAATATGCGGAGCAGATGCACGAGGTAAAGCGCATTCGTAGGGAACGTCACTGTTCGCAAAGTGCTTTGGCTCACGTAACTCGCTCAAGCAGGGAAACTGAGTCTCTCAGGGAAATGACACGTCCAAGG